AAATTTGAAAGAATCGACCTCCCCAGGCCCTGATGCAATCCCAGCCAAGCTGTTGAAGGAGCTAGCTTCTAAAATGGCCAAGCCGCTGGCTTTAATCTTCCAGGCGTCATTTATTACTGGGTGCCTGCCCTCTGATTGGAAGACAGCAACGATCACGCCGCTTTTCAAGAGTGGAAGCCGATCGTCCTTAAATAATTACAGGCCGGTGAGTCTTACCTCCGGTTGTTGCGAAACCATGGCAAAACGACAAAAATGGTCAAAGGTCTGGGAACAATGCCCTATGAAGGCAAACTGTCAACCCTCGATCTATTTCCCCTTTCCTATAGACAACTTCGAGGGCACCTCATACTTACCTTCCGTATTATTAATAATCTGGATTGTTGCTTCGTCCCCGATGATTTCTTTACCTAGGCTAATGCGCCCACTTTGCGCGGGCATTCCTTTAAACTACGCCCCGGGAAAGCAAGGATCGACGAACGAAAGTTCTTCTTCAGTAGCGGAGAATCCAATGACACAGCAAGACATATTTGGAGTTGTCTATAGGATCTGATGCCACTGAAGACAAAGCAACTACGTCGGAGAAACGATTAGACTTCTCAATACGCTAACTGCCGAACACGCGGCTGCAGTGTAGAGAACTGAAGCCAATTCTGAGGTAGCGACTTATTTGACGAGACCCAGCCACACATACCAATTTGGCTATGCCCACATGGAAGTGAAAATCTTCAGTGTCGCAAGTTACTCGAACCCTGTTCACAGGTCCCTAGGCTATAAACAAGTGCAACGATCTGCCCAATCCATATTCATTGCTGAGACTCAGTTTGGCCAAATCAGTTCGCCAATCGGAGAGCGCAGAGGTCGATGTGTCTTCCAACAAAAGTGCTAGGAAGCCAGATGGGCGTGCAACCATCACGCCCAAGTCTAGCAGAGGCGATGAAAATTCTGCAGGTCACGAGCCGCACGCCGGCCATCAAGCATATAGCGCACATGCGGGCAACTATCTTCGATAGGAAGAAACCGTTAGTTGTCATAAGTACGCAGTAGCACAGCAAATAAATACTGCAGTTCCCTGTGGATGAATTACTCATTTCTGGTGTTGTCTGTAATGGTGTATCCGCGATGGATCTCAGAACATCAGGCAAATAAAATGCTTGTCCCAACGATCACATCAGCTTCTTCTCAATTACTTTCTTAGCCTCGCATTTTCGCTTATATTGACGATTCATCTAGCACCTACTTACCGTCTATTAATACGCGATATTAAAGGCCTGACTAGTTTCCCACAAAGTGACTATATTTAAGTGCAAGTTTACCTGTTTTCCGAAAAAAATGGTCGGAATTATTTTTATGCCACCTATCCACCCCTCGACGGGACACATACAACAGCCGACCCCGCCATAAGTTCCAGGAGGGGTAATGATTCCCATACCCTAACTCTTACACTAATCCTAACTGAAAGCCCAAACGTGATCGTAGCCTTCGCTCTATCCCCACGTTCCCCGAAACCACTTAAGTCAAGATCGCATCCTCAAAACCAACGAAACAGTAAGTACCCAGTCGCAATTTTGTTCATACAGGAGACAGGAAAGATGTCTCTGCGAAAGCCAACGTGCTTCCATGCCAATGGGAATTAAGTAGCTCCACTGCGAAACTGTCAGGTTTACTTTCTGTATAAGCCCGACTCACCAAGAAAAGCCGTAGATGCATAGGTATTTGACGAAAATTGCAATAATAACGCTGTATCTCGTGTGCCGTGGGGGGAGAGGGAACGTTATTTAGGATTTGGGTGGATTATGAGATGGAAAAAACGGAAGGACACCTAGCTTGCGTTATTCTCCCATTCTTAGAACGTTCCAGGAAGAAAATGTGGTCCGCCTCATTGCTAATAAAGGTGTATTCGCCCAATACGCACAAGGGCTCATAATGCTTATCTATCTACCTCCATGACAGGCGGAAGATCTAGAAACGGACTACTGCGAAGCACTTAGAGTGTTAGCCCCCTGTGAAGTTCGGGAACTGACGCACGGTGGGCAGCTGCCATCTTATCCGACAGCTTTATAGCAGGACTCATATATAATCATATACAATTGCTGGTCATACCCTAGAACTGATAATCTGTCTCTCTCTTAAAGTCTTCAAAGTACGGATAAGTGTTTTCTTGCCATTTAGCTGGAGCCGTCCTTGTTGGGAGAATATACACCACCCCCACCACCAGCTCTGTCTAATTACTGTAGTTAAGCCCTGATCCAAGTGACTTTCCATTGGACAGTGGTACAGAGGCAGTTTAAACGCGTGCCAGAAAGTTTTGGCACGGTTTCTCACGTGCGGAAGTAGCCTGCGACTGGCGACAGAAACACCCTTCTCCCGCTGAGTCAGGAAACGTTGGCAAAATAGTGTCCTCTGTTGGTGTTCTTGTTGTTACTGTCGCCGTCTTTGTTTGCACTTTTGCATTCTAGAGGACGGAAGGCGGTAGCGTCAGTTAAGCCCACATGCAGATGATGACGATCTAATTATTTCTTTGTTAAGACTTTTGGACTGTTGATTACTCGTCGCCTGTCGAGAGGCTCTAGATAGGAGCTCCATGACCAAAACGAAACAAACTCGACTCTATTTTGTACTCACGAGGAACCAGTGCAGGTCAGTCCGATGTAACCTATACTGCTGGCTGTTAAGTTTAATTTCTTTCCTGGCTCCCGCGAACGCATAATGATTAAAAACGATTGATTTGACTTCAGCTGTCGAGTTCATTCAGGAAATCTGGCTAGTACATTATCCCCCTTGTCGTTTCCACATATAACTAATATTTCTTTTGAACCCAGAGACATTTTCGAAGGTAACTTTAGCAAGCTACTAATTAAAAGAAATCAAAAATATTACTAACGGATCTGTGTTTGAGCTCACGTACCACATGTGGCCTATCACACACGAAAGATTGCTAATAACGCACAAACTGGAATCAACAAACGTACGAACGCTTTGAACTAATGATGAACAAATTTAAACGGATTGGAAACATTAAGGTAATCTAAAAAGTAATATTACCAACTTTTAAAAAAACCGTAAGACCATTTAAAATCAGACATCACGGTTAGTGACGAAACGTAGTTTAAACTGTAAGAAGACGTCTGTCCATGTTAAAAAGTGGGTAGATAAATCAGCTCAGGTTTGGTGAGTTTTGAAATAATTCCGTAACAAAGTTCGCACTTTAATGGCCTTTAGCAAAAATCCACGGTCCGTCCCAACACATGCACAGTTCGTCATGGGTTTATCTTATCTCTCCACCTCTTCTCCTTCCACACTGGCGACTTACGGTCGCAAAATGAAGCTTTGTATGTCATCTTCTCAAAAACCACATATATCTCCGGGTTCTGAAAGATGGCCTGGATCACATTTCAGCACAGTCATTAGCAAATGGTCTTCTACTGAATAACAAGAAGTCAGTCCAGTGCGTTTACGGATTGCGAACATCTCCTAGTCGTGGATCATCAGACATCCTGCCCAACGAGGTATGCCCT